TAGGAAGGTGAGGGGCCTTGGTAAAATTGCATTTTGAGGGGTCGTTGACATACCCTCTATATATAAGCCCCCTCCCCTGATCTCTCCCCTCACTTTTACTCAGCACTCTCTATTTCTGTTCCCCCACCCATCAAAGTGAAATTACCAGCATATTTTCAGATACGATGAAAAAAAAAAAACACAACAAAATATATATTTAAAAAAAAAGAATTATTTTCTTCTGATTTGATAGTTATAATTGGACTATAACTATTTCAGAGATGCCACTAGCTGGAATCAAAAGCCTACCCCAGGGGCAACGAAACCGGAAAACAATTTTTCTGTTACAAACACTGCTCCAAAATCTAAGGAACCAATTTTTTTTTGTAGATTTCGAAACTTTAGAAAAAATATTAATGTACATATTGAAATAAAATCAATTACAAACGAATTAACTTAAATATGACAAACTGGGGTCACATTAAATGTTTACTAAAAGATCACACTGGAGAAAACATGGCTGATTTAGTGCTTTATTATTCCATACTGAGTTTATTATCAATTTCTGAAAATGCCTCGGGCAGGTCCTACGATGACAATGCTTCCAATTTGACTGGTAGGAACTATGGTACACGCCCTCCCCAATCACCACATATTTGCAGCTTATTATTATTACGCTGCTAACTCAATAAATTTAATCGGCTGCTCTGCTGTCGAGTGCTTCCTTGATGCAGTTAGCTGTTGGGTGCACATTCTAAAATCCAAGAGGCTATTTTTTTTTTCTTTTTGGAAAGCCTCGGTGCTCTCGCTGATGCCATTTGCCATCCTATACACAGATGTTACAATTGGGATTTGTTGTTGCTGGGATCTCGTGGGTTCCCGTGTGTGCTGCGTTGTTTCCCTTTAAGAAAGCAGAACTATTGACAAATCAGAACACTTCTTGTGCAACATTGTACAGTTCACTGACAGGTTTAAAAAAAAATAATTAATAATAATAATAATTGGGAAGCTTTTAATGAGCTTGAATAGTTGAATATGTTTCCACTTAATTATTAAAATATATTCTGAAACAAACTTCTATCGGGGAGGCGACGAAGGGCAAGTTAAGCGAAACGTGATATTTAGTTGCTGCACTGTCAGGTAGACACTATAACGTTTGAAGAACACGTTCAAGGTAAAAATAAAAAAAATAAAAAATTCTTAAAAGAATAACTGATAATATATATCATATTTATTTATTATAACAGTATATTTAAAATTGTGTGTGCAAGAACAAACTAACAAGTGCAAAATATTTGTTTAACCATTTTTAAAAAATGTTGGTGGTGGTGAAGTTGGAAAGACCGACTTTCCCCATAGGGTTAAGCCATAGGCCATGGTCTAAGGCGCAACAGTCTCGTTACATACGGAAGATATAACAACCAAATATTTGCACCATATTATTTTGAAAAGGTCCACCTAAAAGGCCGTGGCAGTGTAGATTGGAATTTTAAAAAAAATATAATGTGGTCCTTGCAGATAATATAACTCCCTTTTCTATGTAGGCCCTAAAGAAGCGGATTAGGCTTGTGTAATATCGCTACATCAAGTTGCAGGGTCAAGGTCTTCACGCGATTGATGTTGGAAGGATAGCACGCGGGAACCTGACGGACTGGCTATTCAATCTGATTATCTTGTACCTGGGAATATTGTGGGGACTGGAAATTACGAAGTACAAGGAGGCACGGCCTGGATATGTTCATTGTATTTAATAGTATAATTTGGCACGATACTAACGAACGGTCTGGATATGTTCATTGTATTTAATAGTATAATTTGGCACGGTACTAACGAACGGCCTGGATATGTTCATTGTATTTAATAGTATCATTTGGCACGATACTAACGAACGGCCTGGATATGTTCATTGTATTTAATAGTATCATTTGGCACGATACTAACGAAATGTCTGGATATGTTCATTGTATTTAATAGTATCATTTGGCACGATACTAACGAACGGCCTGGATATGTTCATTGTATTTAATAGTATCATTTGGCACGATACTAACGAACGGCCTGGATATGTTCATTGTATTTAATAGTATCATTTGGCACGATACTAACGAACGGCCTGGATATGTTCATTGTATTTAATAGTATCATTTGGCACGATACTAACGAACGGCCTGGATATGTTCATTGTATTTAATAGTATCATTTGGCACGATACTAACGAAAGGTTGCCAGCTCCTGATTTATGGCGTCTTGTGTCAAAGTCTAAAAAGTGCACTGGGATATAGCAATTTTAAAAAAATAAAAAAGGAATTATACTATTCTCTACTTCGGCGCACAGTTTGAGAGCCTCTGGGCTACGCTGGTTTGAATAGTAAGATAATTAGTGGGGGTTAGAAAGGGGTGGTGGGGCATTTAATGTCATCGTTCCAGAACAAATTATTATCGATCAACGGAATAGTTTTCCTACGGCTGATTGGTCACGAGACGAAGCCAGAAATGATGTCAGCCACGACGTACGTTATAAGGGTACATTTGATATAATCTCACGAAACGGCCAAATTTAAAAAGTTTATTTCTCATTGCAGCAGTGGAGCGGAACGATCAAGTGGACACTGAGTGTCAAGCTCTGTTTGTTTAGCATTTCGATGAACTATAAAACTTTGACCAAAGCTTTCTAATTTTGTTGAAAAAAATTATAATTTTCCAACTTTCGCATTTTTTTCCCTTATTTTTTTTCCCCTTTATCTTTTCAAATGGATATATATATATATTATATATTAATAAGTAACGTAGAAGCGTTATGTTTATTCTTGATGTATCAATGGTCCTAAAAATAAGTAGTCACTATTACTATTACTATATTATTATATTGTAAATGACATGTTCAGATTGGCCTGCTAGTAATTATGTCCTTTATTTTAGACCAGGGGTCTCGAACTCGCGGCCCGTGGGCCGTTTGAGGCCCACAAGACGATATTTTGCGGCCCGATACTCGACAGACAAGTTTATTGTTAAAGCGGCCCGCGCGTTCATTCTTATATCTCTAATCTGACACGCCGCGACGTTTTCGGTCAAATCTCACCGACTGGTCTGATTCTGAGTTTATTATGGTTGTGTAGGTTTGGACGTTGATTTTAATGGTCAAAACCGTTTTCAAATCGGACTAAAAGTGTTAACTATATAGCATTTTATGAGACAAACATGGCGGCCAAAGTGCGGTTTTGAGAAAACACACTTCGAATATTGGATATACATGTATCAAAAGTTATTTCTTATTAAGAAAGGTTGAGCAGATGGTAACAGTTGTACTTTATTGAATTAGTAATCGCTTTCTTGTGTGGAATACTTGATGCGGCCAAGTCTCACTCACACTCTACCTCCTGCTGCCCAAGGATAATTTGAGTTTGAGACCCTTGTTTTAGACCATTATCTCAAGGGGAAATAAATAAGTAAGAAATTTCCATACTTATGTAACTTGTTTATTTAAATAAGAATTTACCATTTATTATTTAATTGCAATTTCATTTCAGAGGCATGTGATAATGCAATGTTAGACAAAGAAGTAATGGTCTAGCGCTAAATATAGAACCGACCATCTGACAAGTTCATGTATCATTATGCGAAAAGACAACTTCGCCATGATGGATAGGTGATATTGACGTCATGGACACCGGCTCACACGATAAAGGCGATGACTGGGTCAACGGTGGAAATGACCATCACCAGCCTCTCATCGTTCAGGACCAGTCGCCCGAGACGGTGGCCGGAATGGCAGCCCCGACCTCTGTTCAGTCCCCGAGGGTTACATTTAATATTGGGGGTGTGGAGTTTCAGACGAGAGACGACACGATCAAAAGCGTGTCCAATAAAAATTTCAAGGTAAGCTCAAGGTTTGGTGGTGATTGTTGTGTGTCATAATACAAACTTGATCTTTTCGATCCAGGAAATCCATTTGCAAGTCCCTCAACATCAATAATGGACAGGTCTACCAAAGATAGTTGGGTCGTCAATAGTCGAAATTGATCACGGCCATTTTACTTACCCCCAGTTAATTACCTGATTGATCTGGATCTAGATTAGTTATTGTGACATTTGAAAACAAAAAAAAAGTACTTTATATCTCTGTTCTCTTTTTTTTTTCGTGTGTTCCTGTGAGTGTGTGTAAAAATCTTCGGAATGCTAACTGACCCACTTCCCGCCATCCTATCGTAAAGAAACTTGGCCTTTAGTTTATTAGACTCGTTGCCGATGACAACACATTCTATTACATTTTCAGCCCCAACCCCCCAAAAATACGTTGTTCCTCGGCGAATGTCAATGATTTGTTCAATGTGTGCATGTTCTATGCTTGGAGATGAACTGTGTAGCTGTTGCTGTGTGCTGTGTGCTTTGTATTATTTGCGATATAAAGCATATGAAGGATTTATACGAAACATTTTGTTTTTTAGGGGGTTCTTTTTCATTTCATTCTACTTTGCAACCAGTCAGAAAGTTGTTCACAGATGACGTAAAATGCTTGCGCTGGCATCGAAAAATTGTCTTCCTAACCGTGATCTCAGGTTTTTTTTTTTTTTTTTGGGGGGGGGGGGGTGTTGGTGTTTTTAGCAGAGGAATTGTGTGGGCCCTGCAACCACGACGTCTTCGGGGTGCTTCGGATCTTTAAGAGGCCCAAAGTTATGATGTGGACAAAACAACAACAACAACAAAACTAGCAGCTTTGAATGCAAAAAGGAACGAGATTACTCTTGGCTCTTAGACCCCGGCTATTCTTATTTTGAGATTTGCAAAATTCAAAATTTTAAAATCAAATTATATTATCTAAATGCCCAGATCCCAGAATCATACAAAGTCCCTTTTTGATCTTCATGATATAATTGGTCTTATGTAAACATAAATTAATACAAACTGACCCCGTTATGCTAGAAGCTTAGAAAAAAAATGTCTACCATTAACCAACATTTTTTTCTTACGTTGCTCGTCGTGCATCGGCTCAGCTCGCCGATGGCCGCTTTCTGGCCAGGTACTATGACGAGACTCGCCAGGAGTACTTCTTTGACCGTGACCCGGAAGTGTTCAGATCCGTCCTCAACTACTGGAGGACTGGGCGTCTTCATTTGCCCTCTACCATGTGTGGTCCCCAGGTCAGTACTTGATACGGCAAAAACTGGGCAGGGGTGGAGTCTGTGGCAGGGGTGGAGTCAGTGGCAGGGGTGGAGTCAGTGGCAGGGTTGGACTCAGTGGCAGGGTTGGAGTCAGTGGCAGGGGTGGAGTCAGTGGCAGTGTTGGAGTCAGTAGTCAGTGGCAGGGGTGGAGTCAGTGGTAGGGTTGGAGTCAGTGGGAGGGGTGGAGTCAGTGGCAGGGGTGGAGTAAGTGACAGGGTGGAGTCAGTGGCAGGGGTGGAATCAGTGGCAGGGGTAAAGTCAGTGGCAGGGGTGGAGTCAGTGGCACGGTTGGAGTCAGTGGCAGGGGTGGAGTCAGTGGCAGGGTTGGAGTCAGTGGCAGGGTTGGGGGGTGTTGAGCATGACTCCCTTGAGATTAAAACAAAAGAAACTGATATCTCTGACAAGATACCTTGGTATCACGAAAGAGGCACCCTTGGCTTCTCTGTTTTTCCATCATTACTACCAAGAACATTTTCATTAATGGCAAAAATAATCTATCATCGTTTGAGGAATTACATTTTGTTTCTTTTCTACTTAAAAAAACACGCACACAATATATGAAGAGATTATTTTTAAAACTCGGTATACACCATTTTCGAAAAAAACAAACAAAAAAAACGAAAAAAAACGAAAAAAAACGTACCCTTTTGTAACGCGAACCAGGTTCCTTTAGGACATGGTAAAGATTATTTACCAAACACATTATATTCCTTTTTTTATTCTTGTCTAAAAAAAAAAATGATTTCCTTCTCTAAACGCACTATGTAATTTTGTGTAAAAAGTTGAATAATGTCAAATATACTCATCTATATAAATATATATACTCTGAGGTTGTTTTCTGATTGAACGATTGATGAATTGATGAACATCGCTAACGCCTTCCTGTCAGGTGGAGGAGGAGCTAAAGTTCTGGGGTCTTAGCGAGATTGACATCGAGCCCTGCTGTTGGAACAACTACAACACCTGGATGCAGACGATCAAATCTCTCAAGAAAATGGAGCACGACCGTGACCCCGCCTACCTGCACGCCCATGAGCCAAAACAGCACGTGCCGGTCACGAAAAGACAGCGTCTCCGTGCTGCGTTCTGGAACATTCTCACAGATCCTGCATACTCTCTGGCGGCCAAGGTAAAACGTTGCCCCGTAGTTTGTCCAAATGTGTAGCTTTTGTGGGTAAGGTAACAATCCGTAAAATTTGTGTTATGCATACAATGGACGTTCAAACTCATTGCTCAAAAAGCTATAAATAGCTAAATATACACAAACCTTCAAAAAATACATTTACTTTAATGACTATCTGGGGCCTACATGAATTATTAGCAATACAAACACATACATAAGTACGAGGAATCAAGGGGACAAGATTGCTGCGGGTAGCTGACCCCCCCCCCCCCAAACAGGGTTCGAATATCTCATGTTCGGTCACATTCTTCTTTCTTATATCATTTCGAATAATACATTGCAGCTAAGAGCTTTTTTTCTTTTAAAAATTTATATTATTTTTACTGTTGTTGGTTTGCTGAAGAAAAAATCTTGCCGAAACGTTCGTTGTTTTGGTTGCGTCCTTTTTTTTCAGGTTTCCCCATACTTTGTCTCGTTTATTTCCTTTTACAGATCCCGACTGCAACCTTTTCCCATTATTACCATCTTAATAATTTAAGCGTGTCCATCTTTAACACAGAGCGTCTCGTTCGTTTCAGATTTACGCCTACCTGGCTCTTCTCTTCGTGGTAACGGCCATATTCTCATTCTGCGCCTCAACCCACAAGTTCTTTCAAACAACAAGCTACGATAACGCATCATCCGCCATCTCGCCACTCAATGCGACTCTATGGGAGCAGTCCTACACGCCCGGTGTGGCAAGCAATCTCACCAGGTCAAACAGCGGTCGGAATGGGCCCAACCGGACGACACATCTCCACCCGTCCCTCTTCATCATCGACATCGCATGCTTAGTTTTCTTCACGGCTGAGTATCTGCTGAGACTTGCCTGCGCCCCGAACAGATGCAAGTTCGTCGTGAGCGTCATCGCCGTCATCGACTTGCTCGCCATCCTCCCAGACTACATCGAGTTCGTCGTGTCTGCGGCGCACCCGGATATTACGTCATTGCAGAGCATCATGGAGTTCATGCCGTTCTTGCGCCTCATGCGCGCGTTCAGAATTTTCCGTCTGATTCGCCGAGTGCCCGGGTTGTGGATCATGATGTACACGCTGAAGGCCAGCTTCAAGGAACTGTCTCTCATGCTTGTCTTCCTCTTGGTCGGGACGATCCTCTTCTCGTCTTTGATTTTCTTCGTGGACGACCCGGAAGTTTTTCACAGCATTCCCCACAGCTTCTGGTGGGCGATCGTCACCATGACGACGGTGGGGTACGGGGACATGACCCCTTCGACGCCCTGGGGCCAGCTCGTGGGCTCGGTTACCGCGATTTGCGGGGTTCTCATCATTGGGTTCACCATCCCGTCTCTGGTGAATAATTTCATCACGTTTTTCAACCACGTGGAGTTTGTTATTCAGAAGGAGCGTCTGCTTACTCAAGAGGAGGAGAGAAGGAATGGGGAGGGAGAGGTGGGGGATGAGGACAAGGGGAAGCAGGTGGATGGAGAGTCGAAAGATAAAGAGGAGGACGACACAGTGGAATATCCTCATAGATACAATACAGTTGTTTTCACACAATTTCGATCGTCCAATGGCCCAGTGCTGATCAATCACAATTGAAAAGTATTTACAAAGTTTGGGGCTGATATAAGACACATAATAATTTTGGTAAATGTTTGTTCAAAAACGTTTTCACAATGAGGCTAATGTAAATAACAAGACGGGATGACAGCACAACATTTCTGACTGGTCTGTCTGGCAAACATATAGCGATTCATTCGTCTATTTTTGTTTAAATCAAAATAGATACGATCTCTTATGTCAAAACGTGTTTTGAAGTATTGCGCTGATTACGAACTACCATGGACAAGTATTGAACTGATTGAATATTTAAAAAAAACTAAATACTGAAGTGATTGAAGACATTCCCTGGCATATTACTGAACTGGTTAAAAATAAAATACCTTGGCCCATAGAACTTTTTGAGAGCATAAATGACTTATGCACCCGTTTGCTAACGTCATAAAAATCTGTTATTTGAACTTTACACAACGAAGCGTCAAGAAAAGTCTTTCATGAACAACTCTGCTGATGAGACCGTGCTTTGTGTGTAGATTGAAGTGGTACATATATTAAAAAAACTGTTCATTGTTTGTGTATCTAAGCTTAACCCAGCTCTTCGTAAACGAAAACACAATGCTGTATCATAAAGTATTGAACTCGACTACTGTTATTATAAAATGACTTGAATGCGATTACAGTATTTGTTTAGCGTGAAAAGCTAAACGCATTAAAATTGAATTAATATTTACAACAACAGTGGTATTGAGTGAATTATACATTTTGTTTTCGATAAAATAATATAAACAATTACAGCAGACAATGAAATATTTCATGCATCAAGCTCACATCGAACTAAGGGGCAGAGGCGTCGGAAGAGGGGGGTGGGGGGGGGGGGGGGGGGGTCCTCCCAGGAGGGCACTTTTTCTATTTGGCATTTTCGGCAAACTGCGTTTGTTGTTGTAGTTTTTTTTTTCGTGAAAGTGGGCGTCAAAACTTTTTGCCCACCGTGGGCAGCACTAACCATAGCTACGCCACTGACTGGAGGGACAATCTTTTGAACAGCGTTGCGTTTTAGCATAAGCAAGTGGATCTCCAAAGGGTTCTCGAACCATAAGCTTTTAAAATACGTCCAACAGAATGGGATTTATCGCTATATAGATCTCGCGAGAGCCAGCGGATTAAAGTGATTGCAATTTAAAAAAAAAAAAAGAATTGTTTTGTTCTGTGTATGTGCTTCCTTTAAATAAAGAAGTTGGGACAGTGGCCTGGAACTCTGTCAAGCCCATTATTTTCATAAATAAAATAATACCAAAGCACATTTTGGCTCCCCTAACTGGTCTGGCGCCCAGGGACATCTGCCCCTCCCCAGGGTTTCTTTCAGCTATATCTCTAGGGTTCACTGCCGCCCCCACCCAGAGAAAGTCAAGTGCCCCGCGGAGCAAAAATATGTAAAACAATGAAAACAAAATATATTTTATTTTTAAAAAAAAACGACAACCAAATTGTCATTTTTAAAACAATTTTAAAAATAATGTTAGCTGGTGTCATTAACCGATTACAATTAGTGGAATCTATTAAATATCGCTAAGCTCGATACATTTGATGATCCGTACATTTAAGGCTGATTTTCTTAGAAGCTTACAATTTTAAGGTCTATAATTTTAATAGAGTTCTCACTAAGTATCAAACGTGAGCAATCTTTTCATGTTTTCAAATTATATTTTATTATAAAAGCATAAACTTTAAAGTAGGTCATGGTGTTAATTAAAAATTGAATGATGACATCATGCTTTAAAACATATAGTTATTATTAGCATCGGTGCTTCTTTCAGATAACTCTCCAGGAGGGCATTACATTATCTTTAAAAAAAAATATAAGTGTAAATGAGTGTAAACAATCATTTAATTTTTAGGCTTTTAAAAATATAAGATTTATTTAATTTAAATGTGTGTCTGCCTGTGCACTGCAGATGGCTGGTCAGAATTTTAGCACACTTTGTTAGTGCAAGACTCAGCGTATTGTAGTGAAGCAAGCATCTTCCATAGACACTTCTGTTCCCTGCGGCGTGCCACAGGGCTCAGTTTTACGACCTATTCTGTTCTCCATGTACACTAGCTAGCTGGACAGAATTATTGAAAGTCATGGTATTTCCCAAAAATTAATTGCGGATGACACAGAACTGTACAAGGGGGTCAAAATGGCTTAAAAATTGTTGATGTAACAAATGGATGACCCCAAAACCCAGGTAAGGTTTAGGGTCAAAACCCAGGTTAAATTTAGGGTCAAAACCCAGGTTAGGTCTAGGGATAAATTTATGGCATTTTTTCATTAATTTTGAATGTTTTATTCCTAATTTTAGCAGCAGACGTGAGTGATTTTAATTTTCCACGGCCGCCATCTTGGTTGCCGCGACCCGTGAACCCGTAAAAGTTCACGGGTTTCGGAAAACAAGATGGCGGCCGTGTGATATGTCATGGCACCAATAGTCTGCATTTACCCAAAACTAATCAAGACATATATTATTTCATAGCACTACTTTGAGGAATGCTGCAATTTCCATAAAGGTTATACGAAATTAGGAAACATAAGGATTTGGACCCGGGGTGGGGGGGGGGAATATCGACAACTTAGAATTAAGTCAAAATAACTTCCGCACCTATTGGAACTGTTAATACAATGGTGCGCACAATGGGAGTCACTTAATCACTTCCTTGTTTGGTCACGTGATGAGAGTAAGCCATCACTAGGCTGCTACACACAATAAAAGATACTTCATCAGTGCTTTCCCAATGTCATGTTACTTAAAAATGTTACCTTTCAAAATACTCGGGAATACACGCATTTTTTAAATGAAATACATAAATGTGACAATAAATATACGTCAGTTATGATTAAAGGAAGAAAGTTATTTCAAGAAAAATTTGTGAGCGATATTCGATGGGAACTATCAATACTATCGTCGGCAGGCTGTTGTTGAGCTCCGTGCGTGCCCATGACGTCATTTGCGTGTTTATTCAATATTGGTGCAAGAGCCATTCCCCTTTGTTTATTTTATTGTTAATTTTCATTGGACGAAATGTCGCCATACCGATGAAGTCATTTGCGTGTTTATTCAATATTGGTGCGGTAAGGGAATATTTTAATAACCGGTTGAAAGAAGATTTCATGTGAATAATTAACGAAGGTCCACTTTGTCATGCCATGGTCTTAAATTTTCTTTATCCTTAAGCGGAAACTTATGCAGACTTATACCGCTGTCCTTAACTTGACTGTTTGAACAGCCAAAGCTGAATATTGCCTAGGCATCTTGAATTACTAGTTGTAGTGTGTAACGGGCTACTGTTGTCAAGCACTAGTGTGTTGTATACAGCCTACCGGAAGTCTTACTCGTTTTTACTCTCATCACGTGACAAATCAATCGACTAAGTGACTCCCATTATCTAACCTTTGTCATTCTCTAGAGCCACTGTCTGTGTCGATGGATGTTTTATTCTGTTTGAAGGATTGATCGATGTTTTCTTAAGAGCTAAAAATATGAAAAACTGCTATATATTTTGGTTGAATGTATTTGTTAAGTATGTCCATAGTTTACATTATGAAAGGAAAGCCTCATATTAGTTTATTATTCCTTTGTTTAAAACGTTGGTGCTCCCTAAAGTTTGGATTGGGGAAGAACTTTAAGGAAATGTCTGAAAAGAAAGATTGTATGACATTTGTTGGCTTAGAGTTGACTGATGGTATTTATCAGTGGAGTGTTCAACAGATTGTTGGCAGACAACACTGGGAAAACAGTTAAATAAGTTGAAGAGGATGGCTCGGAAGGCAGTTCATTAGACTGTCTGAAGACAGTGGCTGGAAGACAGTTCAGTAGATATGTTTTAATAACGAAGAATAAATTATGGTTTAAATATCAGCCATATTTTATAGTGTAGCAACACATCAGCAACTTAACGAAGTGTCAAACATGCTTGGCAGTGTAAGAGAAAGCACACCCAACAAAACATCACACACACATTTCACTGTGCAATACATCACACACATTTCACTGTGCAATACAACACACTCATTGCACTCATTTCGAACATAATTTCAAAATACCTCGCAGTCTTTATATCCATGATAAGAATCTCCTTCACATGATTTGCAAGAACATTTATTCATTTGGGGTTTCTGGTGAATGGTAAGATGCGGAGGCATTTATTGTATATGTACTCCTCTTTAGTCGCATTTGGTGCTCTTTTAGCACTGAGTCATATTTAAATAGCATCTCAACCATTTCAAGAAAGTGGCAGTGAAGATTCATCTTCGTTATGGCCAAAAAATGCCAGATCTTGCTTTGCAAGAAACAATGTTATATCCAGCAACCTGTGGAGGATACCCCTCCACTTTTTCTTCTCCCTATGCATCACACCACTTCTTTCGGCATCAATTGTTTTGTTTATCCTAAGTCCTGCTGCCAATGCTTTCCACTTTTCAAGGCAACATAGGTGTTCTTCCGATGCTTCATGATTTTGTCATTTTGGGCTCAGTTTCCACCACTTATCAAATCCAGTGACACATTTGGATGTTGTTACTTTAACATTAACAGCAAATAATCTGCAGCAAAAACATTACAATTTCTGACCGACGAGTGAATAAACCATCGACAACCGTAGTATTTTCTTGCCATTTCGCATCATCCCGTAGATCTATTGTTTTGTTAGTTGACGAACACCTCCTTTAGATTTCGCATTTTGCCTTGTCACTACGCTGAATAGTCCGTCCTTGTTCTAAAACGAGGTAATCCATATTTTAATAATTTCAGACCGAAAATAATTTGAAACTGGTACATTCGCTGAAAAGAATGCATGCTGCTGCTATCGGGAGATTCAGTATCAATGGTAGG